AAAAAAAAAAAAAAAAAAAAAGAACACATAGCCTTGCAGAGATGGTGAGAAAAACTAGAGAGCAGGAGCATTCATTTGAAGCCTGTTGTAATTGGTGTAAAATCAAGTTTATGTGACACTATTAGACCATTCTAGTCTGGTACTTATGAGAAAGATTTGGGCTGGATATAACAGATGCCTATAAAGAGTATTTGATTGAATGACATTGCTTGAAGTAAATATGCAGAATAAGGAGAGGAGAATTAGAAAGGTGGAACCTTGGGGGAGCATAGTAGGAACACAAAGGAGGAGTCTGCTTCAGAGACCCTAATAAGAGCAGAATTGGCTGGAGAACTGAGAAAAAGCCTTTGACAGAAAGAAAGACCTTAGGCTCCTGCTTCATAGAACAGAGGTCAGAATGGCAAGAACACTTTTTGATAGAGAAAAGTCCTACTCATCCACTAGTTGACCAAGTGATAGACCAAAAAAAAAAAAAAAAAGATCTCCCCCCTCAAAAAATTTTCATGACAGTGGAATAAATGTGAGTTAAAATGTAGGGAAATTGCTTAGAAAATTCAGGTGATTTTGACCATAATGAAGGTGAAGTGATACATGTGGGTATGATTTTTGTCTAGAGAATTATAAAAGGCCTAACATTTCATACTAAGGAATTACATTTGTGAAGGAGAATTGAATGGTTTTTATGGTCTGGAAAGAAACAAAAATCACTTGAGGACAAGGCCAGATCACCTTGAACAAAGACTGAGACCTCATCTCTTACCTAGTGTCATGACTGGCGCTTATAGTCTCCATCAGGAGGCTGAGGCAGGAGGACCACACCCGAACCCAGAAGATTGAGGCTGCTGTGAGCTAGGCTGACACCATGGTACAATAGCCTAGGCAACAGAGTAAGACTCTGTCTCCGGGAGGGTGGGGGGGACGGACACTCAGGTATATAGTGGAGGGGGGGTTTGAAAATGGCTGGGAGGGACACTTGGCAGTAGTAAAATCATACACCAAGCTTATCTGGCTTCTGTTTCCTTAAGAGGCTTTGAGTCTGGGATTTGAGCATGGGCTCTTGATTTCTCTGTCATGATGGTCCAAGTCAAGCTCTGCTTACCAGATCTGGAGATTTCCCACTATACAGATTAAGTGACATGTTAGTGAAGTTACTTATCAGTTTTGTTCCTGTGGATTAGTTACATACAATAAGTGACCTAGTGGGTCAGACTGTGCTGATGACCACGTTGGCCCTGTTGCCAAAAGTGACTGTGCCTCCTTTTCCCACCTCCCTGGAGGTTGAGTATGAGCGTTTCCCCCCAGCACCTCTGGCCTAGACAGAGTACAGTACATTGCTTATAAAAGCCCCATACCACTTCCTTTTTGTTTGTTTGTTTGTTTTTTGGGACAGAGTTTAACTCTGTCACCCTAGGTAGGTGGCATACAGCGGCATCATTACAGCTCATGGCAATCTCAAGCAACCCACCCTCCTGCCTTGGCCTCCCAAGAAGCTGGAACTATAGGCATGCACCAGGATGTCTGGCTCATTTTTTCTGTTTTTAGTAGAAACAAGGTCTTGCTCTTGCTCAGGCTGATCTCAAACTCCTGAGCTCAAGTGATCCCCTTGGCTCTGGCTTCCAGAGTGCTGCTGGGATTATAGGCATGAGCCACTGGCACCTGGCCTGTTGCTACCACTTTCATCATCAGGGTTGGGAGACACAGCCCAGGAGGTAGTGGGACTAAAAAGATAAAATTAAACTAAAAATCACTCAGGTAGAAAATTTTGAAAAGAACTGAACTGGGAACATAAAAACTGTAATCCTAGCTGTAGGAGTAGAGGTAAAGAAGAAAGTATATGAGTGTTAATTAACTCAGAGGGACTTGGTGTTAGGCTCAGATGCTAAGTATCATCAGTGGAGAAAGGTTTGGACAAAAAATATGTTTTGAACCTGTTGAGTCAGACGATAGAGCCGTCTATCATGATAATGACTCGAGTGCAGGGTTGACGTACTGCGTGAAGGATGATCAGAGTGGCATCAGTGGAGGCATAATGAGCAGATTTTTTCAGTTATCTGATGCAAGATGATTTCCAAGTGCACTAAATTTGTGGCAGTATGTGCTCAATTGGAAAGAAATTACTGTGAGCTTCCTTGGTGAAATAAATAGCAGGTTTAGGTTTGGAACTTTGTAATGGGAAGAGAGCCGACCAAATTGATAATGGTTTCTATATTGGGGAATAAATATACATAGGACAAAGGTAGACAGCTGACTAGATAAGAAAGAGGGATAAATTCACTTTTAGATATTTTGAGTTTAAGCTACTGCTGGACAGTCAAGTGCTAAGTCCTAAAAGCAAATAATGATGTGAGATGTTTTAATGATGTAAAACATTAGAGTTGGGGAGAGAGATCTAGATGGAAATAAGCTTGCAAAGGCCTTTCAGTTTATAAAGAGTAACAAAAGATCAAGATCAAAAGAACCTTTATAAAAGCCCCTAGTTTGAAGACAGATCAGCAGAAGAGAAGAAATTTGTCAGCAACATAGGAAGGTAAATACAAGCTGTGGGAGGATGGCATGAACTTTAAGAAAAGGCAATAATGGCTCGGCACCTGTGGCTCAAGTGGCTAAGGCGCCAGCCACATACACCTGAGCTGGCGGGTTCGAATCCAGCCCGGGCCCACCAAACAGCAATGACGGCTACAACCAAAAAATAGCCGGGC